CTCTGTTTCTGTTCTTCCCCAGGAGCTGCATACTGTAGGTATCTTTCTCTAGATCCAAGAAATCTTCAAATAGCTTGTTATCCTTGGGTCGTTTTTTCAGCTCCACCTGAAGTACCTGCCATCTTTAGAACGGCAACAGCCAGGGATAAAGCAAATGAAATTTGTGACCAACCTTTTCACTTTATATTAGAAATCACACACACACACACACACAACACACACACACACACACACACACACACACACCACACACACACACACACACACACACACATACACACACGCACACACACACACACACAGGGACAATCAGGTGTTCCGGAATGTGTACCTCGACCGAGACAGGACACAAGAAGGATGACAATGAAAGAGAGGGTGCAACGTCGCAAGGAGGAATGGGAGGCAAGGAAGGTGGAGAGACAGGAGAAATCAGGCCCACGTGGAAGAACAAACACAACCCCCTCCAGTACCACCCACAGAAGGAACACAACCATGGCAATCCCAAAGCAATCAAACGACCTAACCCAAAACCCACTCACTGCACCCTCTGCCCCCCTCTCCCTCAGCAGAAACCCCACCCTCACAGAAACCCACAGTAACCCCACATCCCCCTCTGCATAACCCCACCCCCACAGTAACCCTCAGTAACCCGTACATCCCCCTCAGCTCAAACCCCACCCCCACAGAACCCACAGTAACCCACACAATGTGCCCTCTCCTCCATCCCCCTCACCACAAACCCCACCCTCACAGTAACCCACAGCAACTCACACACTGTACCCTCTATTCCCATCCCCCTCACCACAACCACCCTCCCCCATTGTAACCCCCATAGGCCCTCTTCCCCCATCCCCCTCAACACCACCCCCACCCCCACTGAAACCTCCATAGGCCCTCTGCCCCCACACCCCACATCACAAACCCCACTCCCACACCAACCCCCTATAGGCCCCTGCTCCCCCTAACCCACCTCTCTCTCCAGACCACAGTTATTGAAAAGAAGTTGAAGGTTTGGTACACGAACGCGGATACAATAACGAATAAATGTGAGGAGTGGCACGAAAGAATCAAGGAGTTGTTCCCAGACATCGTAGCGGTTACAGAAACGAAACTCACTGGGAAAATAACAGATGCAATCTTCCCACCCGGATATCAGATCCTGAGGAAGGATAGAAGGAGCAGGTGGGGGGGAGGAGGGGTTGCACTACTAATAAAAAACCGGTAGGGTTTTCAAGAAATGGAAGGTATGGACGAGATTGGAGAAAGGGATTACATAGTAGGTACAGTTCAGTCAGGAGAACACAAGTTAGCCATTGCAGTTATGTATAACCCATCACAGAACTGCAGGAGGCCAAGAGAGGAATATGATGAATGCAACAGAGCAATGGTGGACACTCTAGCTGAGGTGGCAAGAAGGGCCCACTCAAGTAGAGCGAAGTTACTGGTCATGGGCGACTTCAATCACAGGGAGATTGATTGGGAAAACCTGGAGCCACATGGGGGGGGGGGTCCCAAAACATGGAGAGCCAAGAAGATGGATGTGGTGCTGGCAAATCTCATGCACCAACATGTTAGGGATACTACCAGAGAGAGAGGGGAGGATAAACCAGCAAGACTGGACCTCGTGTTCACCCTGAGTAGTTCAGACATTGAGCACATCACATATGAAAGGCCCCTTGGAGCTAGTGACCATGTAGTTATGAGCTTTGAATACATCGTGGAGCTAAAAGTGGAGAGGGTAACAGGATTAGAAAGGGAAAAGCTAAACTATTAAAGGGGGGACTACACAGGAATGAGGACCTTCCTGCAGGAGGTTCAATGGGAACAGGAGTTGGTAAGAAAATCAGTAAACAAAATGATGGACTTTGTAACAACAAAATGCAAGGAGGCAGAGGAAAAGTTTGTTCCCAAGGGTAACAGAAATAATGGGAAGGACACAACGAGCCCTTGGTTTACCCGAAGGTACAGGGAGGCAAAAACTAAGTGCTCTAGAGAATGGAAAAAGTACAGAAGGCAAATGACTCAGGAGAATAAAGAGATTAATCGACGAGCAAAAAACGAGTATGCACAGATGAGGAGGGAGGCACAGTGGCAGTATGAAAATGACATAGCATCGAAAGTCAAGTCTGACCCAAAACTACTCTACAGCCACATCAGGAGGAAGACAACAGTCAAGGACCAGGTAATCAGGCTGAGGAAAGAAGGTGGGGAGCTCACAAGAAACGACCAGGAGATGTGTGAGGAGCTCAACATGAGATTTCAGGAAGTATTTACAGTGGAGGCTGAAGGGACAACGGGAAAAGAAAACAGTGGAGTACAGCAACAAGGGATATACCAACAAGTGTTGGATGAATTACACACAACTGAGGAGGAGGTGGAGAAGCTCCTAAGTGACCTTGATACCTCAAAGGCGGTGGGACCGGACAACATCTCTCAGTGGGTCCTAAGGGAGGGAGCAGGGACACTACGTGTGCCACTAACCAAAATCTTGAACACTTCCCTTGAAACTGGGCAACTACCTGAAGCATGGAAGAAGGCAAATGTGGTCCCCATCTTTAACAAAGGAGACAGAAATGAAGCACTAAATTATAGACCAGTGTCACGGACATGTATAGTATGCAAAGTCTTGGAAAAGATTGTCAGGAGGAGAGTGGTGGAGCACCTGGAGTGGAACAAGATTATAAACGACAGCCAGCACGGATTCATGGAAGGCAAATCCTTTGTCAGAAACCTACTAGAGTTTTATGACACGGTAACTGAAGTAAGAAATGAGAGGGAGGGGTGGGTTGATTGCATTTTCTTGGACTGCAAGAAAGCCTTCGACACAGTTCCTAACAAGAGATTAGTACAGAAGCTAGAGGAACAGGCACGTATAACAGGAAGGGCACTGCAATGGATCAGAGAATACCTAAAAGGGAGGCAACAGCGAGTCATGGTCCGTGATGAGGTATCACAGTGGGCGCCAGTGACGAGCGGGGTCCCACAGGGGTCAGTCCTGGGACCAGTGCTATTCTTGGTATATGTGAACGACATGACGGAAGAGAAGTGTCCCTGTTTGCAGATGACGTGAAGTTAATGAGGAGAATTAAATCAGACACGGACCAGACAGGTCTACAAAGAGACCTGGACAGGTTGGATGTGTGGTCCAGAAGCTGGCTCCTAGAATTTAACCCCGCCATATGCAAAGTCATGAAGATCGGAGCAGGGCAAAGAAGACCGCAGACAGAGTATAGGCTAGGTGGCCAAAGGCTGCAAACCTCACTCAAGGAGAAAGACCTAGGAGTGAGTATAATACCGAGTACATCGCCAGAAGCACACATTAACCAGATAACTGCTGCAGCACATGGGCGCTTGGCAAACCTGAGAATAGCGTTCCGGTACCTCAGTAAGAAATTGTTCAAGACTTTATAAACTGTGTACGTCAGGCCTATACTGGAGTACGCAGCACCAATTTGGAACCCACACCTGGTCAAACACGTCAAGAAATTAGAGAAAGTGCAAAGGTTTGCAACAAGGCTAGTTCCAGAGCTAAGGGGAATGTCCTATGAAGAAAGGTTAAGGGAAATCGGTCTGACAACAGTGGACGACAGGAGGGTCAGGGGAGACATGATAACGACATACAAAATACTGCGTGAAATAGACAAGGTGGACAGAGACAGGATGTTCCAGAGATGGGACACAGAAACAAGGGGTCACAATTGGTCAAGCACGTCAAGAAGTTAGAGAAAGTACAAAGGTTTGCAACAAGGCTAGTCCCAGAGCTCAAGGGAATGTCGTACGAGGAAAGGTTAAGGGAAATCGGACTGACGACACTGGAGGACAGAAGGGTCAGGGGAGACATGATAACGACATACAAGATACTGCGGGGAATAGACAAGGTGGACAGAGATAGGATGTTCCAGAGAGGGGACACAGGGACAAGGGGTCACAACTGGAAGCTGAAGACTCAGACGAGTCACAGGGACGTTAGGAAGTATTTCTTCAGTCATAGAGTTGTCAGCAAGTGGAATAGCCTAGCAAGTGAAGTAGTGGAGGCAGGAACCATACATAGTTTTAAGAAGAGGTATGACAAAGCTCAGGAAGCAGAGAGAGAGAGGATCCAGTAGCGATCAGTGAAGAGGCGGGGCCAGGAGCTGAGTCTCGACCCCTGCAACCACAATTAGGTGAGTACAATTAGGTGAGTACACACACACACGCAGGATGAGGATCAGGCAGGACTACAAAGGGACCTGGACAGGCTGGACGCTTTGTCCAGCAACTGGCTCCTAGAATTTAACACCACCAAATGTAAAGTCATGAAGATCGGGGAAGGGCAAAGAAGACCGCAGACAGAATATAGGCTAGATAACCGAAGACTGCAAACCTCGCTCAAGGAGAAAGATCTAGGGGTGAGTACAATACCGAGCACGTCTCCGGAAGCACACATCAACCAGATAACTGATGCAGCATATGGGCGTCTGGCAAACCTGAGAACAGCGTTCCAACACGTCAGTAAGGAATCGTTCAAGACTCTGTACACCGTGTATGTCAGGCCCATACTAGAGTAAGCAGCACCAGTTTGGAACCCACACCTGGTCTAGCACGTCAAGAAATTAATTTAGAGAAAGTGCAAAGGTTAGCACAATACTAGTCGCAGAGCTAAGGGTTATGTCCTACAAGGAGATTTTAAGGGAAATCAACCTGATGACACAGGAGGACAGGAGAGATAGGGAGGATATGATAACGACATATAAAATACTGATAGAAATTGACAAGGTAGAGAGAGACAGGATGTTCCAAGAGATGGGACACAGAAACAAGAAGTCACAACTAGAAGTAGAAGACTCAGATGAATTACAGGGATGTTAGAAAGTATTTATTCAGTCACAGAAATGCTAGGAAGTGGAATAGGCTGGGAAGTGATGTAGTGGAGGTAGAATCTATACATAGCTTTAAGAAGAGCTATGATAAAGCTCATGGAGCAGGAAGAGTGACCTAGTAGCGGCCAGTGAAGAGGTGGGGCCCTGAACTGTGAATCGACCCCTGCAACCACAGCTAGGTGAGTACAACTAGGTGAGTACACACACACACACACACACACACACACACACACACACACACACACACACACACACACA